CGAGAGAGCTTGTGAGAATTTTCTTAAGGTCTTTTTTTTTCAAGGAAGAAGACCTTCCAAGTACCATGATCACTCTATTTAAAGACTCATGTTTGCATGTTCATGCAAATTTGAGATCACCAAATTTTGACACTCAAAATTCCACTCAAACTTGTGGGGTTCATTTGGCAAGTATGCAAGTTTGGTTAAACCAAATTTTACACCTCAAAATTCCACTAACATGGATTTTTCCATTAAATGAAGTCAACATTTTGACTTTTTTCATTTTAATTCAACAATTAATTTGAATAATTAATTTCAAATTAAAGTAACATTAAATGATTAATTAAACTATTTAATTAATATTTAATATTAATTCAAATGACAATCCCAATCAATTCCGACACATAATTGATTAAGATATTTAAATCTTATTTAAATATCTCACATTCTCTCTTTTTGTTTAATTCGTAAATAAATCAAAATGCAGTTAAATATATTGTATATATGTAGCGCATATTCCCTAATTTGAATTCGAACACTTTGAACTCACTCGTCAGACTGTTCTATGGTTTAGTCCGATATGAGCTAGCAGAGGGACCTAATGGACCTATAGATTATGGGCTCCAACGATCCAAGATTAACTGGTTAAATTCATTAACCTTGTTAACCAACATTTGTTAACTATTAGGACACTCCACTATAGCCTAGTAGTTGCACTTCCCTCACTATAGATATATTTTTGTCCATTTGATATAACCATGATTAGTAAGTCGATCCTTCACAGGTTGTTCGTAACTAGAGCTGGGTCAATTAGCTGTTTTACCCCTGAAGTTACTTCTTGTTCCTTATGTCCCACTGATCCTCTTATGAACAATTGGTTTGTGGTTCAACCAGTAAACCAAATTCATCTCATGCCAATGAGTGGGTGGGGCCCCTTGTTCAAGACCCAGAGTCAGTACTTAAGGGAACTACCTCTCTTCTATCCCTAAAAGTGGGTAGGAGCGAATTCCATTTTGCACCTCACGTCCCCAGTCTTACCCCTGAAATGGGAGGCCTATTGAGTCGGCGAACTCTAGCCACTCTCACCCATGCAAATTTAAGGATAATTTCGAATGAATAGGAGTTCATGGTTAGCTCAGGATTAAGATCGAGTTACCTAGGTCATCGAATGAAAAGAAAATCAGTCTCAACAGTAAATGACATTATAAAGAGAGTGATTTTCTTCATGGTCCGATCTTATGCAATACTCATTGCATAGGACGCCCCCACTCACATGTTTCTACATATACAATCTAGTGATCACATTGTTTATATCATATACAAAAGTGGGCCGCATCCATAGTGTCCCCAGAATAAGGTACTCAGCTTTATCCTTATACTATAGATCATTTTGACTATATACTTGAACTTGATCCATTTTTATGTCTCTACATATAGTTCAAGTAATCATACTATAGACAGAGTGTTCTTAGTTTATTGGATTTAGATTAATGATCGTAAAGTTCATTTTATTCAATAACTATCTTTACGGAATAAACATCAATAATAACTTTATTGAAAATAGAATATGTCTTTGTTTACCAACTATGAGTTTTAGGACATAAAACCCAACATAGGATTCGTCTCACCATTTGAGATACTATGAGATGTCAACTACTTCGAGTATTTAGTTGTGTTTGCTATGTATTTGTGTCTGATCATCTACATAGCAAATTTGACAAGAAAGTAGTCAAGTGTATATTTGTTGGATACGACAATCAAAGGAAAGGGTGGAAGTGTTGTGATCCAACAAGTGGAAGACACTATACATCAAGAGATGTAGTTTTTGATGAAACATCTTCATGGTGGTCCTCGGAGAAGAAAGTCTTACCATATTCAAACAATATCGAAGAAATTCTACGACAGAAGATGGGGGAACAAACTACGCACACTCAACCAAATATTAGTGCGCTTGAAGACCCAAGTGACATTGATGTTGATGAGCAAGAAGTAACTCAATCAAGTGAATTTGATGAAATGGAAACAACATATCAACAACTTAGGCGATAAAAAAGAATCCAAAAACCAAATCCTAAGTATGTCAATGCAGCTCTGGTAGAAGACATAATTAATGAATCATTGACATATGAAGAAGCATCACAAAACTCAGTTTGGCAGAAAGCAATGGAGGAAAAAATTATAGCCCTGGAGCAAAATCAAACTTGAAAACTAGTGTCATGACTAGGAGATGTCAAACTCATCTCTTGCAAGTGGGTCTACAAAATAAAGCGTCGACCAGATAGATCGACCGAGAGATACAAGGCTCGACTCGTAGCTCGAAGATTTTCTCAGCAATATGGACTAGATTATGATGAAACATTTAGTCTAGTGGCAAAGATCATTACCGTACGAGTCCTGTTACTACTCGCGGCAAGTAAAGATTGGAAACTGTGGCTGATGGATGTGAAAAATGCTTTCTTACATGGAGAGTTAGACAAGGAGATTTATATGAACCAACAAAAAGGAATTTGAGAGTGTCGCTAATTCAATCACGTATACAAGCTTAGGAAAGTTTTTTACGGATTGAAGCAAGCACCGAGAGCTTGGAATGGTAAGATTTTTGAATTTCTTGCCCAAAGTGGTTATTCAATTGCGCATGTAGACTCAATCTTGTTCATCAAAGAAAGAGAAGGAAAATTGGCAATTGTGTTGGTCTATGTGGACGATTTGATTATCATCCGGGACGGCGAGAGAAAATTTATTTGTACGCTTTCAGATGAAAGAGCTAGGGGAGCTTAAACATTTCTTGGGTTTAAAAGTTGATCGCACAGATGAGGATTGTTTCTCTGCCAACAAAAGTATACAAGAGATATGTTTCAGAAGTTCAGCATGTTACACTGCAAGCAAGCTTCAACACCGATGGAGATAAATGCCAAGATTTGTGTACATGAAGGCAAAGAGTCGAACGATGAAACGACATACCGACAACTAGTAGATAGTCTTATCTACCTAACTTTAAATTGGCCTGATATTTCTTATGCAGTTGGAGTCATGAGTTGGTAGATGCAAAGCCCAAAGAAGTCGGTAGACGGATCTTGAGATATGTCAAAGGTACAATCGACTATGGTCTTCTGTACAAAAGAAGCAAAGACTGCAAGCTAGTTGGATTTTGTGATGCTGACTATGTAGGAGACCACGATATTCAAAGATCAACCACTGGGTGTGTTCAAGTTTAGTTTGGGAACAATTTCTTGGTGTAGCAAAAGACAACCAACAGTATCATTGTCAACTACAGAAGCAGAGTATAGAGCAGCAGCTAGAACAACTCAAGAAAGTACATGGTTGAAACTCTTGATGGAAGATCTACACCAGAAAATTGACTATCCAATATCACTTCATTGCAACAACGAATCTGTGATTTGCCTAACAGAAAATTTGGTGTTTCATGCTAGAACAAAGCATGTGGAGGTGCACCACCATTTCATTAGAGAAAAAGTTTTGAAGGAAGAAATCTAGATGACCAAGCGGCAGACTTATTTACAAAAAGGCTAAATACTGACAAACATGAGAGCTTTCATTGTCAACTCAACATGGTGCAGCAAATGAGAACTAGTGTTGAGGTAGAGCGTTAAAGTTTTAAGAATAAATTGTCTAGCTTCTACTATAAATACTCCTTCATCGTATCTGGGTTTTCATCAGTGTCATGTAATCTACAGAGTGTCATGTACCCTTTCATCCCAAAAAATACAAAGTATTAGTATTCTACAGAGTGTTATGTAATCTCTTCTCGATTGGTCTTAATAAAAAGTGTGAGTGTTTCCCACAAAGAGTTGTGTTCAACAGATTATGCCAAGTTTGAATGATTCTAAATATGTAATCTAAACTGCATAAAATTGTAAAGAAACTTAGACATGGGCTAAAAGAAAGCAGGAATAGGAGTGTTTTTTTTTTTCCTACATTTTCCAAACCTACCCTGTATCCAATATACATAGCTTTATGTAGTCTCAAAATAAAAACCATTAATTTTACGAGATGCATTTCAAGAGTTATAACTTTCGAACTTTATGACCACTATGTAAATGTAAAGTTAAAATAAATAAAAGCCTTAAAATACATTAAAGAAACATAAACTCTCGATTATCATCCACCTAAAAATTGTAACCGTCCATGAATAAATGAAGCTTGATTCTTCCTTAATATGACATGAATGGCAACATCTTGTGATAATTTGAACAACAATTTTTTCACGTCCTCCTTAAAGTTTATATACATGATTGATATCTTGATTCATATCAGGTTAGGTTGAATTTTTGAAAGTCGAAAATTCGATTTGGTTTTCATGTTTACCTCTTTTTTTCTTTGCTCCCGATAAAAATAGGGTTACAACCCAAGTCAACTCTACCTCTCTAGTTTAGCCATTCATTATGTCTCGGGGATATTTTGATATTCCAGTTTTATGAAATTTTAATTATTTCACGGATAAATAAGATTGTAACTCTATTTTTGTTGTTATTTATTTATTTGTTGGAATAATTTATTTATGACAAAATGTTAATTAATTTAATTTTAAAACCTATGTTTCTCCACCTTCATTTTCATCCATTTTTAAAATCTTTTTAAATTCTCTACTTTTCAAAATTCTTCTAATTTCACTTATTTATTTATTATTATTATTATTTTTTTTTTTTTTTTTTGATTTTCCACAACCCTCAACCCTCTTCCATATTTTATATTTTACATTTATTCTTATTTTTTTCTTATTATTTTACCATTTGTTATTGTTATATTTAAAATATCATTAGTAATTGATTGAGGGCAGCGTTAATTATTTAATTGAAAATTTGTACAATTTTATTAAAATTATTTATTTGAGAATAATTAAAATATTTAGCGCTACATAAATTTAAAAACTTAAAATTTGAGACATTTTTTAAAATATTTTTATTAATGAATGAGAATTAAATTAGTTAATCTTTTTTAGTAATTTGACTCGATAAAATTAATTACATTAAAATTGTACAAAAATAAATAATTAAATAAACATGTCGACTCTTATTTTTCAAATTCTATTTTTTTTAAATTCTTGGTCACCTAAATTGACAAAATCATATGCCACGTGTCAGCACCCTATTCATCAGCCTCATCGTTAAATTAAATCAAACGAACGGTGTGTCCGTTCCTACTTCCAATTTACCTTCCTCCGACGACTTTACAACCTCCATTTTCAACGCCCACCTTCTCTCCGACGACTCTTTCTTCTTCTTTCTCTTCTCAGAGGTCTCGGATTCAGAACTAAATCTCCACAGATTGCCATTTATGATAAACCATTCTCCGATTAACGTCATCCTTCCAGCTTAACTTTTCCCATGGGACACCACTGTAGTAAAAGCGTTTCTGATGTCAGTCACCACGCTGCAATTTCCGGTGGCAGCCGTCCGAGTTCTTCGCCCATACCCGAAGATACCCGGCACTCCAACTCTGTCTCTGCAACAGCGAGCCCATTTTCTAGTCCTCTGCCTTCTCGAATAGCGCCGTCGCCAGCCAGAACTAGGAGGAAATTCCGATGGCCTCTACCGCCTCCTTCGCCAGCCAAGCCCATCATGGCCATTCTACGGCAGAAATCGCGCAAGGCTTCGATACCAGAGGAAAACCAAATTGGGGAAGAGGGGTTGGGAGAGGTTCAGTTGGATAAAAGCTTTGGGTACTCGACGAACTTTGGAGCGAAGTTCGAGCTTGGGAGGGAGGTGGGGAGGGGTCATTTTGGACATACTTTCTGGGCTAAGGGTAAAAAGGGCGACCTCAAAGGAAAGCCTGTGGCCGTCAAAATCATCTCTAAAACTAAGGTTGGTTTAGTTCAATACTCATTTCTTCACCTCAATCTGTTCCTTGGTTTTGTTCATCTAAAACGTGAGATCCTAATCTAAATCTACTATAAAATCCATTTACATAAGTGGGAACGAAAGACTTACATTATTTTGATGCCAACTCGCTGCTCGGACTTATTTGCTTTGGCAGATGACATCCACCGTTGGAATCGAAGATGTTCGCCGGGAGGAAAAGATACTGAAAGCATTGTCCGGGCACAAGAATCTGGTCCATTTCCACGGAGCATTTGAAGATGCCAATAACATTTACATAGTTATGGAGTATGTGCTTGTAGATATCTGTTTTTGCCAATAGCCCTGCATTTTCTGATAGCTCAATCAAGTTAATATCAACCCTTTTTCTGAATTTGGTATCAGATTGTGTGAAGGCGGAGAACTGCTAGAAAGAATAGTGTCAAGGTAAAAATGGTTTGATTCATTTACTCTGAGAAAAACGTCGATCGACTCGGTTACAAGTTCATAACATATACCTGCAGAGGAGGAAGATATCAAGAACAAGAATCGAAAACGATCATTGTGCAGATACTCTGTGTTGTTGCATTTTGTCATCTACAAGGGATAGTGCACCGTGACTTGAAGCCAGAGGTACACATCTTTTTGTAGCTTCAATTCATTCTTTGGCTCTGAATAAAGTTCCCTATTACTTGTTGTAACTAGCTTTATCCAAATTCACTGTACCAGAATTTCCTTTTTATGAAGAAAGATGAGAACACAGGGCTCAAACTCATTGATTTTGGTCTCTCTGACTTCGTCAAGCCAGGTAAATACTTGTTGCCCTTGATAATATGTTCTTGCCTTTGTTCAATTCATTAAACATTTGCATATATTATGAAAGAATGGTGGAGAGAGATTCATGTTACCATCCAAGCTTCTGGCCTGTCCTTGAGCAGTTGCTGCTTTCAATTCCTACTTGATTTTCACTTTGCCATCTCATTAGGGGTGAGACTGTTTTCACAACGCCTATAGTTCTTCTACAGATGAACGTCTGAACGATGTCGTCGGCAGTGCATACTATGTTGCTCCTGAAGTACTCTACAGATCCTACAGTTTTGAAGCAGACATGTGGAGTATTGGTGTCATAGCATATATACTGTTGTGTGGGAGCAGACCTTTCTGGGCAAGAACTGAATCAGGAATCTTCCGCTCTGTGCTAAGAGCCGATCCTAACTTCGATGATTCCCCTTGGCCAACCATCTCTCCAGAAGCTAAAGATTTTGTGAAACGCCTTCTGAATAAAGACCATAGAAAAAGAATGACAGCAGCGCAAGCTTTAAGTAAAATCTCCAGGCTCACTTTTTCTAGTACCAATATAATGTATACAAGTATATTTGTTGATAAGCAAACAATTTCGCACCTTTGATTCACAGCACACCCGTGGTTACGAGATGAAGATCTTGCCGTGCCTTTGGATAACTTCATATACAAGTCAGTTAAGGCATATCTCCGTGCAACTCCTTTCAAGCGTGCAGCATTGAAGGTAATCTGTCACTGCAATTGAACATATCACAAATGGTGCATCAATAACTTCAACGACATCTCTTCATTATTGTAGGCACTTGCAAAAGCTTTGACAGAAGATGAACTTTTCTACCTCAGGACCCAATTCAAGCTTTTGGAGCCACAAAATGGATTTGTAACCATTGATAACTATAAAGCGGTTAGGCTCTCGCCATTCTTTTTGCTTCGACGTTTACTTTGTAATCTTTACTGTTGATGTTTACATATTATGAGTTGACCTCATGCAGGCTCTTGTGAGAAATGTAACTGATGCAATGAGAGAATCCAATGTTGCTGACATTCTGAAGATGGTGAGATCTCTTTTACTTCTTGGCCTTCAATTTAGACACTTTTGTGAGATCCCATATCAATTGGGGAGAAGAACGAAACAACTTTTATAAGAGTATGGAAACCTCTCCTTAGCAGACACGTTTGAAAACCTTGAGGGGAAGCTCGAAAGGGAAAGCCCAAAAAAACGGTGTTTCCAACAAGGATGCTAGGCCCTTAGGGGGTGGATTTGGGGGTCCCACATCGATTGGAGAAGGGAAGGAATGCTAGTAAAGACGCTGGCCCTGAAGGGGGGTGGATTGTGAGATCCCACGTCGGTTGGGGAGGAGAACGAAACACCATTTATAAGGGTGTGGAGACCTCTCCCTAGCAGATGCATTTTCAAGCCTTGAAGGGAAGTTCAAAAATGATAATATCTGCTAGCGGTGGGCTTGGGTTGTTACACCTTTTATGCATATACTAAAATCAAGTTACATTCTCTGCAACTCTGGCATAATGCTCTCCGGCCGTGGTTGATATTCTTTTTCACTAACCTTTCCAACTTGTATTTAGATGGAACCTCTCGCTAACAAAAGAATGGGCTTTGAGGAGTTCTGCGCAGCTGCAATCAGTGTATATCAGCTGGAGGCTGTTGCAGGATGGGAAAGCATCGCCACCCGAGCTTTCGAGTATTTCGAGCAGGAAGGAAATCGAGTCATTTCCGTACATGAGTTAGTTCAGGTAAGAAACAATTCGACGCTTGGAATTACTACATTTTACACAACTAACAACAGTGAATTGAAGTGCAAGTTTAAAATGTGTTCAGGAAATGAATCTGGGTCCTATAGCTCATTCTTTTCTCCAGAATTGGACAAGAAGTTCTGATGGGAAACTCAGTTTTTTCGGATATACAAAATTTCTGCATGGTGTTACAATCCGCTACTCTAATACAAGACATTAACACACAGAAGAAGCAGATAGTTCAATAGCTGTACACTTGATTCATTTTTTCTCCTCATTGTATTATCAATTTGATTCCTAGCAGCTTCAAAACACTGAATAAAAGAGGGCCATGCGATTGAGAAACATAAAAAGAAATGCGGCTGTACCATGTATTGCATTCTTTCCCATTTCACCGCCCAGTTCTTTGTAATCCTTCCTACATGTAAAAACAAGGCAGAGATCAGAATACAGATTTTACTGAGACTTGCCAAACTGATATGCTATATTATGTTCTTTCATTCTCCCAAACTTAAGTGCTCAATTGAGATAAACGTTTGAAGATATAATTTTCAAGATTTTAGAATTCTTCATTCTGTTTCTTTTTTATGTTTTTCTGTAAACATATGGGTTTAGTCTTGACATAGTGAGAAACTTCCAAACGTAATGAATATATGAATAAAAGAAAAGCAATGAAGGGAAACAGAATAGTAAGAATACTGATGGAGTTGAGGTGGGGTGAGCTGATGTCGTCCATTCCATGTGGGCTATGGATGGTCATAATTGGGAAGTCAATGATGGCATCTGCAAGACTGTAATGCAATACATACTGTAAGTGGAAGAAGCATAATAATGTTCTAAAGAGAATTGGACTTTGCGTTATTCAAGGGAGGATTTAGTAGTATACAGAGAAAAACGCGTCAGCAAAGCTGTAGGTGTCATTGCCAGAAAGTATAATAAAAAGTTATTACATCCTTACAAGCAAAGCAATCTCCACCCACCCCTTTTCCCATGGGATAGAGATCCCTCATTTTTTGAGGTCAAACAGGCCAATTTAAAAGGATAAAAGAGTTCCAATGGTCAAATATCCTTCCGAGAATTCATTTCAGACAGTTTTGATTACGTTATTTGAATTTTAACTAGGAAGAAACAGAGATTAATCATCATGATTGAGGCTGAAGAAGCTCATATATGATACAACATTCAATGGCAAGCTAGACCATGTTGACAGTGACAATAATTTGAATGTATAAACAGAGGAAATTCCAATTCCACTTCCAGAAAGCAATGGTAACGCATGAATTGCTATTGGTTATGTGTATCAGAAAATTAACAAACAAACAAAGAGGACCCAAAACTAAGAACTAAGGTCGGTATTCATCAATATCAGCAATGGGGATGAGACGAATCCCTAAAACAGGAGATGGGAAGAAGATGATGGGGGTGATGATCGTGATGAATTATGCCCTGGAGAGTACGGAAGTCGTCGACAGGGCAAGGGATGGCGATAGGTCCTTTCTGGTCGAAGCCATACTCGTCCTCGGCCTCCTTCAAGAGCTGAGCGAACAAGGGATGGTTAACATAAATGACAGGAATCACGAACCGCTCTTGCTGTTGGCCGACGAGAATAGCCAAACACCCCTTGGGAGTCTCCACCTTGTTCCGATGATGATGGTGGTGAAAGTGAGGCAAATGAATATGGAAATGGAAATTCAGATGCAGGAGGTGCTGATGCTTGTCGCCACCGCCGCCACCGCCTCCACCGCCGCCAAACCCCATCGGAATTAGAAGAAGAAGAAGAATCCGCTGCAGCTGCTGCAATTGGAAGCTTGTCAAAGAGAGAAGATCCAAGCGTGAGAGGAAGATATGGCGAGGGTGAAGAGATTGAAAGAGGAATCAGTGAAAGAGGAAGGGATGTTGCTCATCGAGGCTTCACCCTAATTCCGATCAACATACATAAAAGTGAAAACACAGCAGAAAAAGGGAACGCCGGAGTCATGACAGCGGACGCGTTATATTTATACTCGCAAAAATTAAATGAAATTTAATTTCATTTCCAAGTCCGCGTGAAAAAGCAAAGGCAGATCCCCTGAGATGGCCAGTCCGTCATCTCTCTCTCTCTCTTTTTTATTTATTCCCTTTTTTAAGAGGCATTTATTCTTTTCAAATTAATTTTATTTATTTATTTTTCTCTATTCATCTTTATCTAAATACGTTAAAAATAAATTGAATAATTTACGGAGATAAAGATTAAAATTAAAAAATTAAAATAAGAGGCTAACACGGAGGTGAAAAAAGTTTCCCTATTTTCGTCCGTATGATTGGACATCTCTATCTGTATCTGTTCGGTTCGATATCATTTTATTTTAGTTATTAATTTGAAATTAAGTTTTATCGTATGATAATTTATAATAGGTTAAAAAATTATTTAAATTTTAAAAAAAAAAGTATAATTAAATATATGAAAGAATATTAAGTAAAGTTAAAGTATGTTCATGGACTAATAATAATAATATAATAATAATAATTAATAGAAAAAAAAGAGTATTATTATAAAATTATTGTTTTAGGATTTAGGTTATTTGAGAAAATGCTATTTTCATTCAAAGCAAATAAAGGATTGTTACCTAATTATTGTTCTTCAGCATTAATGCATGTTGGCATGAATATCGGTCTTAGGATTATTTGATATAGAAGAACTTCTAGATTGTTGGACCCGAAACCCAGTTGATTGGGTACGAGAGTTGGTGGATGCAACAAAACGTGAAACAAACTAATGCAATTCGTGGCTCCATAACGGGAGACTATCGGTCGACGTTTATATGGTTTATTGATGGACCCCCTCTTCTATGAACTTTTAAAGTGAATAGTTGTGAACATTGGTACGATCAGTGGACTTTGCAAATAAGCGGTTCTATTTGTGACCAAGATTAAAGTGGCATAATCTATGGCTCTATCTATGTCAATCGGAAGTGCAATTTTGTAGTTCATGAGCTTACAACAGAACACCGTTTGGATTGAGGATCGTTCACTATGATTTAGAGATGTTTATATAACTCAATAGCCTAACTAAGCTACTATAAATTTATGGATTGACATTTTTTTTATTGAGTCAACTCAACTAACCTGAAAATAGGGTTATAGTCAAACATAACCCGACAAGTTAAATTGACTAAATTTTAAAATCATTTTCGAAGAACCTCTTACTCTCCTTTTAACGAATTTGGTCGATATTCGTTGCTTCCAGATAGTCAAACATTTAATATTACACCACATTTACTGCTTTTATACGTGTTTCTTTTTTGGATTTTTAAATTTTTAATTATATTCCTTTTCTTTTATTTACCATGTTTCTATTAAATTTTAAATAATAATAATAATATTATTATTAAACTCATAAAAAAAAACATTTTGATTTCATCATAACAATAAATATTCGTTGACTAGAATAATAATAATTAATTAATTACAACACCGACATGAATTTAATGTAAATTAATTTTTAGTACTAAAAAGATTACTCAATTCTTATTTCTTTATTCTTTTATGTTGAATATTTAAATATTTAAATGTTTTAAATTAGAAAATAGGGAAAAAGTCATTTTTATCCTCGTAGGTTAAATAGAAAAAAAGAATCAATTTTTCGATTTATTGAAAAAAGTAAGATCTACCCAAACAGTCGTTTATGAGAAAGATCCAAATCATAATGTTGTCAACATGACTTTTGTGATTAGGAATTCAATCACGATTAAAATGTGGTCGAAAGCGGAGAAAAACTGATGGATAAGGCGATGTTTGCGAATACAACAGATGTAAAGACGCTGAGGTCGAAGAGAGAAAACATTAATTTCAACGAGGATGATTCTAAGCCGTGCACCTGCTATTATTTAAAAATAGCAAATAAGAACAACTCGGTTTTGGGCATGTGTTGGAAACCTTTCTAACGATGATTGAAATAAAAACTTAATCCGGGTTATGAATCGATAAAAATGGAAGCATTAGGGCTAAAAACTGAGTGAATGACAAGCTGAATTAGAATAGAGTAAGGCAATAAGCACCCATGCCAATGCCTTTGCTTTGCTTTGCTGTGCCTTTTCCGCTTTTTCTCCAGCTTTGTGGAGCAATTGGCGGTACCAAAATCCGGCTGGTTAGATAGACCCTGGATAAGGAGAGTATGCCCTTCTTTTTGCCTTTGAGTTCTTCATTCTCTCATCATTATCCCACCTGGTGCTGCCAAGTTCACCTGGTTTTCAATGAAGGGGTTAACATTGAAAGAAAGCATGTTTTCACCGTGCAAATGTGTAACAACCCAAGCCTACCGCTAGTAGATGTTGTTCGTTTTGGCTTGTTACGTATCGCCGTCAGCCTCATGGTTTTGGAACGCGTCTATACTAAGGAGAGATTTATGTGAGATCTCACATTGGTTGAAAAAAGTAACGAAATATTCCTTATAAAAGTATAGAAACCTCTCCCTAGTAGACGTGTTTTAAAACTATGAGACTGACTGCGATACGTAATGAGCTAAAACGGACAATATCTATCAAATGGTATCAATCCAAGCTTACCGCTAGTAGATGTTGTCCGCTTTGACCTGTTACGTATCGCCGTCAGCCTCACGGTTTTAGAATGTGTCTATACTAGGGAGAGATTTATGTGAGATCTCACATTGGTTGGAGAGGGTAACGAAATATTCTTTGTAAAAGTATGGAAACCTCTCCCTAGTAGATGTGTTTGAAAACTATGAGATTGACTGCGATACATAACGGGCAAAAACGGACAATATCATATCTACCAAATGGTATCAGAGTGCATCGAGTGGTGTGCCAGCGAGAACGCTGGACCCCAATAGGGTGGATTGTGAGATCCCACATCAATTGGAGAGGGGAACAAAGCATTATGGAAACCTCTCTCTAGTAGACAGACACGTTTTAAAATTGTGAAGTTGATGGTGATACGTAATGGGCCAAAAGGACAATATTCACTAGTAGTGGGTTTGTGTTGTTAAATAATGACTTTTTAAAAAACGTTGAGATTGAAGTTAGAACTTCAAAGCACCTGGTCTGGAAAACATTCTGTATCATCCTCCCGGTGGATGCTCGTGCTCCATCCTCCAACAGGTTTGATTCCTCTTGCGTAAGGCGCCAGCCAAGAGCCCCCAGATTTTCTTGAGCTTGTTTTAATGTCTTAACTCCAGGTATGGGTATGGTTCCCTTGGATATGCACCAGTTTATAGCAACCTGTTACCAGCTCGGATCGTGTGCATTTGTTTGTCAAAACCACAGTATCTGAAGAAATGCGAATCACAGACAATTTCATTGAACTTAATTACTTGTGGTATTGTCTTGCGCCTTTTCTCTGCAATGCTTCCTAGTGTACTCAGTAAAGGTTCCAATCCTGGTAGAATTTGCCTGAACAGAAGACCTCTGGAAACGCCAATGTAAAAAAATAGCATGAAATTCAAAGAGAAATGTAAAACAATCAATTGATTTTACCGAGGTCCAGATGGAAGCTTGGAGGGTGAGTATTTTCCTGTAAGCATTCCCAACCCCAAAGGACTGTAAGCGATTAAGCGGATGCCCAAAGAATCACATATCTTCTTAGTCTCCAACTGTTCGTCTCCTATGCTTAGTAAAGAAAATTGCACCTAAAATGAAAGAATTAGCATTCACAAAGTCCAACTTCCATTCAAGGTTTCCTATGCAGTCATTTAACACTCATCGTTCTTGGAACAAAAACTTTGTGGCAGAAAATAAGAGCAGAGTAACAAGGTTTCCAATAAGAGCATACCCATCCTAGGCTGGCTCAGTTGGTGACAAAAGTGAATGGACTTTGAAGAAATGAGTTCAAATCCTATGGTGGGTATCTGCCCGATACTACCTCGGTTGGGGAGGAGAACGAATCATTCTTTATAAGAGTGTGAAAACCTCTCACCAGACGCGTTTTAAAAACCTTGAAGAGAAACCGAAAGGGAAAGTCCAAAGAAGACAATATTTGCTAAAACTGTTATAGACCTCCCTAGAATATTAAAATCTTAGACGATTTTCGTGTGTAATAGCCCAAGTCCACTGCTAACAAATATTGTCTGCTTTGGTCTATTATGTATCGTTATCAGCCTCACGATTTTAAAACGCATCTACTAGGGAGAGGTTTCCACATCCTTATAAGGAATGCTTCGTTTCCTACTCCAACCAATGTGGGATCTCACAATCATCCCCCCTTGAAGCCTAGAGTCCTCGTTGGCACACCGCCCGGTGTCTGACTCTGATACCATTTCTAATAGCCCAAGCCCACCACTAGTACATGTTGTCCGTTTTGGCTTGTTACGTATGTTCATTAGTCTCACGGTTTTAAAACGCATCTACTAGGGAAAGGTTTTCTCACGAATGTTTCGTTTTTATTCCAACCGATGTGGGATCTCACACAAATTCGTATCCTCATAAGATGTTTAGCCTTAAACCATTGGTCAGGTACATGGAGGTTGATAAGCTTGTTCATACTAAATACCTGAGCAGAGCATAAGGGAACTCCTCGATCTTTAAGGTAGTCATGTATCTTCACTAGTTGCTTTGGTCCATAGTTGCTCACTCCAACTGCTTGAACCAAGCCCTGTAATACACCAACTTTATGAGTACAACATCAAAATGAAACGTATGGTTTCAGATATTCTGAATTCAAGTTTAATGATGAGAAAGTTGAACCCATTTGAGCAGAAATTATAGTAACCTGATCATACATTGCCACTAGTCCATCCCAAAGAGCCATCTCCTGCAAAGGAGCATAGTTCGCTGTTGACCAATGTAATTGTCCTATACCAATTTTCTCAATCTGCATCCGATCCAAAGACGCCCTAAATAAAGCTCATTGTCATCCAACATGTGTGGTAGTAAATTTACAAGTTAATTAGAAAATATTGACAAATTTTGAGTGGATTTGGATCTGAATCATACTTGCATGCTTTCACAAACTGGCCCGGTGTTAGGCGCCATGGATACGCAGCAAACTTGGTGGCTACCACAATGTCATTTTTCTCTGGAGAATTAGGGTTGGGGCAAACTTAATTCCTTGCGCGCGTTCAATTTTAGCAACAAGCCAGAAAATAAATGTTAATACGAATAAGAGAGCAAACAGGACCTTGAGATTCTCGGATGAATTTTCCCAGTAGCTTTTCGCTTTGGCCATTTAATCTTCCAGTACCATAGGAATCCGCCGTATCGAAGAGATTGATTCCGTTCTCCACAGCCAAATTGAAAATCTGTTGAAGCTCAGCGTCCATGGATTCCTGGTAGCCCCACAACAGCTGGTTCCCCCACGCCCAGGTTCCAAATCCCATTGGAGATACACTCAGAGGGCCCATCTTCACCTGTGATCAAACAGGAACGCCATTGAAGGCAGGGTAGTTTGTTTCCATTCAATTTGGATAATGAATACAGACCTTCTGCCATGGCCAAAAGAGAGGAAGCTTGAGTGGCTTGAAAGCCGCCTGAGAAGAAGAAGAAGAAGAAGAAGAAGAAGAGGAAGTCTTGTTGGATGCGGCCGTGGCGAAAGATCTGAAGCAGAAGGAGGGGCTGAATGTGGAGGAAGCCATTCCTGCCATTGTTTTGGAGGTTGAGACCTCAAGGTGTAAGTTAAAGGAAGGAGATGGAGAAAAACAATTGAAGATATTTGATTCATTGGTTATGTGGTGGAGCACTCTACTCAGTCATCGGGTCGGGCCCACAAATTTTAAAATAATTAAAAATATTTAATTTGTGACCAATGTTAATATTACGTCATAAATATTTAATATTTGAAGATAAATAAATTTTTTTAAACGGTCCATCAAATTTTATTTTTTATTTTATATTTGTGTTTAGCTCTAAAAATGAATGGAATGAATGGTAAACACCATAATCTTAGGGAGGAATATCCATTTAATCGGTGGATCGGCCCCGTGGAGGCCTGTACTGAACGGAGAAAAGATTTTCCATTTAGACAGTGAACGAGAAAGCAGAAGGAAGAGATTTCTTCTTGTTAAATAGATAGGGCTCGAGATGAGAATATATTCCTCTTCCATACTCAGAACAGAGTGATCACTCCAATTTCTAATAGCACGAACTAACCCAGTAACAATCAAAAGTTTATATCGAACCATGAAAAGTATTAAAAAAATGACTATTTTTTAAGTAGAATAATAAAAAATTATAATTTTTGGTGGATAAGGACGAGGGGCATAAAAGTCCTTTAGTAAAAACGTTTTTGGGCCAAATTTTAGAATAAGTTAAAGGATTTGAATGTATTTCCTTTTTCAGAAAAAAGGAGAATTTAGGGTCATGTTTTCCCGATTCTCCACGATATGAGATTCGAGATGCGCGCCATTGGTCTCAAAACAATGGACGCCGTTCCAGTGGACTATAAAAAACGCATCTGGGTTCGAGAGCTGTTGCGTTTTGGGCACTGAAATGGCAATGGAGAAGAAGGTTTTTGATTCAGAGGAAGATTTGGCTGTTTCTCTAGCCAAATACATCGCCGATTTGTCCGCCCACTTCGCTAAGAACAGGGGTCTTTTCACCGTGGTTCTCTCCGGTGGATGTTTGATCGAATGCCTCAGGTTTCCTCTCTTTCCCCTTCAATTTCATCGAGATTCAAAGTTGTTGATATTTTTAGAATTGTAATCGGTTTTTGCTTCTTTTTGGGTCATTCATGAACTGGGTAAACTTTTCCTGTTCTTTTTGAGATTTTGTGTGAAATATTTGGTTACTTTTTCATTGTTCTTGAGGTAATAAGGATTTTTGTGTCTCAAATGTTAGGAAATTGGTGGAACCACCGTATGTTGATTCCATAGATTGGTCGATATGGCACATATTTTGGCTTGATGAGAGGGTTGTACCCAAGACTCATGTTGATAGCAACTACAAACTTGCTTATGATGGTTTTCTCTCTAAGGTTATACTAACTTTCTTCATGTTTTTGCTCTTTCTCATTGTTTAATTTCTTTGTTCTTGTTTGATGGAAATGAAATGGTATTTTAGTTCGTGTTCTTGACTGTTCATTTATTCCTTTATAGAGAAATGCCTTAAGAACATTAGCAGACAGTTCATTTTCGAAACAGTTCCTTCGTATTTAGAACTTTATTGTTAGATCCCACGTTGGTTAGAGAGGAGAAAAAAGTACCCTTTTAAAGTTGTGGAAACCTCTCCCTAGCATATGCCAGCAAAGGGAAACCTAAAAGGGAAACCCATAGAAAAATATTTGTTAGCCATACACTTGGCTATGTGCCAGCAAAGAGGTTGAACCCTGAAGCGGGGTGAACACCAGGCGATGTGTCAACGAGGACGTTGGGCCATGAAGAGGGTGGATTGTGAGAAGATCCCACATCGATTGGAGAGGGGAATGAGTGCCAGTGAGGACGCGGGTCCTCAAGGGGGGTGGATTGTGAGATCCTGCATCGGTTGGAGAGGAAACAAAGCACTCTTTGTAAGGTAGGTGTGGAAACCTCTGCCCAGCATATGTGTTTTAAAGCCTTGAGGAGAAGCCCAGAAGGGAAAAGTCAAATAAGATAATATCTGATAGCAGTGAGTTCAGGCTGTTACAAATGTTATCAGAGCCAGACACCAAGTGATGTGCTAGTGAGGAGGCTGAAACCGAAGGGGGTGAATACTAGGAAGTGTGCCAGCGAGGACGCTAGACTATGAAAGGGGATGGATCGTGAGATCCCACATTGGTTGGAGAGAGGAATGAGTGCCAGTAAGGACACTGGGCCCTGAAAGGGTAGATTGTGAGATCCCACATCGGTTGGAGAGGGGAACAAAACACTCTTTATAAGGGTGTGAAAACCTCTCCCTAGTAGACACATTTTAAAGCCTTGAGTGGAAACCCGAAAGGGAAAACCCAAATAGGACTACTAGTAGTGTGCTTGGGCTCTTACATTCCATCTCTATGTAGGTATTTGAAGCACATGGATGCTTAATGATGAGAGAGTCCATTTAGAACGACTTTCTAAGTGTTTAAAAAAGTGTTCATTTCCAGCGTCTTTGATAGCAGGGCATCGAATCGTTCACTGATGTTTAGTTTTTCTTGATTATTGTGTTGAGTAGGTTCCCATACCTCCTGATAACGTGTATGCTATCGACGACACACTATCAGCAGAGGGTGCAGCAGAAGAGTACGAAGCTCGTCTGAAGCACTTGGTGAGTAGCAAAGTGATTGATATCTCATCCAAAAGCGGGTTTCCAAAATTTGACCTGAATCTTCTTGGAATGGGACCAGACGGGCATGTGGCTTCCTTATTCCCAGCTCACCCGCTTCTGAAAGAGAACGAAAAATGGGTTACCTTCATCAAGGACTCTCCCAAGCCGCCGCCAGAGCGAATCACTTTAACCTTCCCAGTTATCAACTCATCGGACTACATTGCTCTCGTGGTGCCTGGCGCCGCCCAAGCAGATGCCGTGGGCGTTGCGTTAGGAGGAGGAAGTGGTCAGAATGGTGAAGCATTGCTGCCTGTTCAGAGGGTCGCTGCTGAAGGCGTCCTGACATGGTTCTTGGACAAGGAGGCTGCTTCCAAGCTGTAATGTAAGAAGAGATGTGTTCATCAGCTCCGTTTTGCTTATGTTAAGCATATGAATAAAAGAGTTGTATAAGTATGTTAACAATTGAATGTAGTTTGATGTAGGGCAAGAATAAACAAAGATCAAAATCTTTGTATTCGATAGCTTCTTCGTGCTTAGAAAAAGTGTTTTTGAGAGTGTATTTAAGCACTTGAAAGGCCATTCAAATTAGGTAGATATGTAGACCTGGTTTTGGTCCTAAATTATTCTCCGGGAAAGATCTCGACTTCATCATTTATGTCCCCTTGTGATAAGAATCACGGTGTTTAAAGTGTTTTGATTTGATCTATTACACGATCCAATGCCAAAAAGATTCATTATTTATCTACAAAATTGGATTGGTTCGGTTTAACCATCATTCAATGTGTTATTCGATTGAGGAAGGATCCTTTAGAGCTTCACAATTGAATATTTGTGTGATTGAAGTAACTGAGAAGTTGCAAGCATTATTTTATAAGTTGTTAGAAAATTTTATTTATTATTTTTAATTTTATAAAGTTTGTAATGATGAAATTGACTCCGGTCTTTTGTGTAGATTTAAGAGATAGAGATTAAATTATGGCCACACTAAGACTATAAATACCCACCAATTATTAGGTTTTAAATCACATTGGTAATAATGACATTGATATCTCAAGTTGAGACATTCCCTTTAGAAATCTAATCATCATTTTTGTTGAGACGTTCTCTTTTCGAAATTTGATCATCATCTTTAGAAATATGATCATCATCTTTGTTGAGATGTTTCTCTTAGAAATCTGATCATCATCCTTGTCATTTCTAAGTTTCAAGCAATTATTGATCAAGTTCGATTGTAGAATGACTCAATTTATAACCATGTTCGAAATCTTGCTTTTAGATCTTTGATCTTAAGAGGTAATCTAAGCCTTGATAAAAGTTCGAGAAAAGAACAATGTTCCAAATATTGCTTTTAGATCTTGATTAACAATCTAATTCTAGTTTGTTTTGGTTCATTCGAATTTTATATAAGGAATTTGTTAATTTATTTGATTCAAAGATTCTTGCTCCAACCAAAACTTAGATTGTTTGGGCTGAGGATTAGGGTTCTTTATCAATTTGGATCTGAGTTGGTTTCATTTTTTGTAGGTACTTCAAAAATCTAACCAAAATCCATCCATTCCAAAGATAAAGAAAAATGGATAGAATCTACTTAGTGTCACGGTGAAAATAATTTAATTGATTAAATCTTTAATTTATTTGAAATTTAATAACATGAATGGAACTCTAAATTTAATTATTAAATAATAAGAAGAAAAAATATCGTTTTCATACTCCGACCTATTTCAATTTTCATCTCGACAAAATTCTACATTTATTATATTTTTTTAGGGTAAAATATAATGTAAATAAGGATGAAATTATGAAAAAAAAAAAAATTACAGAATTTTACCGTTTTTTATATTTTAAAAAAGTATTATTACATAAATAAAAATATAATATAAAGTTCTACGAACATAATTTTTTAAAATTAAAATTTCAATACTTAAAAAAACATCTTCTAACATACTTACTCAAAATCGAGAAAAAAACTTATATACATTAGTTGGAAATAAAATTATCTCCTTTTTAAATTTTAAAACGACGATAAAAATATTTTAAACATTTTGTCAAAAGTTTAAGGATATTAATGATTTTTTAAAAAAATTTATATGTATTTTTTAAAGTAATTTTTTAAAAATTGAGAGCATTAATAAAAATTTTATAACCTTAAAACCCATTTTTTTTTAAAAAAAATTTAAAGGTATTTTAAAAATAAATTATTAACGTTTTCGTTCAAAAATATATATTTGATTTTTTTTTTTAATTAAAGGTATTTTTCATGTTTTTTATATTTTTTATTTAAGGTATTATGAAAGTTTAAAACTAATTTTTTTTAATTAATTTAACTTAATTTATTTAAAATGGATTTCAATATCTCCATTTGTTCTGTCGGCTTATATTATGGCTTCCGCGTCTCCCTCTCTTCCTTCCACGCTTCGTATGCTCTCCTCCACTCTGCAAAGACCTCCGAAGATTTCCTCTCCGCTTCTCTCTCTGTCGCTTCCATCGAAAACCCCTGCTCTCTCCCTCCGCTTCACTCAAATTTTCTCTGGGGTTTCTGGGTTGCATCCCACCAAGAAGCATCTCGGTTTAAGAGCTCTTGCCTCCGCTACCGACATGGCATCGGAGAAGAGGGTTTTTGATTCAGGGGAAGATTTGGCGGTTTCTCTAGCGAAATACACCGCCGATTTGTCGGATCATTTTGCTAAGAACAGGGGCGCTTTCACTGTGGTTCTCTCCGGTGGATCTCTGATCAAATGCCTCAGGTTAGTTATTTGGTTTTTGAGTTTGTTATGTAATTCCTTGAGGATTAGATTAGGGTTGTGAAATTGGCAATTAGGCGTGCTATAATTTCAATTTCTGGACTGTCTTTGGTTTCATCGAGGAGTAATTAAAGAACTGGATTTAGGCAAAACTGTACAATTTTTTCGGAGTTGACTCTTTGCGGTAGTAATGAGATCGAACATGTGGCTTCTTCAGGTTCTCCAGCTTTTGTTTCTGATTGGATAGAAACGTGCATGTATGCATAGATCAATTGCTCGGGATTCAGGAATCACTCTTTGATCTTTTAGGACTTTGCAAAGCTTTCTCGCAATTTTCCTTTGAGATGCAATGTGAAGGAGTTGGTAGAACTTTGATTGCTTATGAGATAAGAAGAGCCTCCTTTTCATTTTTAACTTGTAGATATATCAAATTTCAGGAAATTGGTGGAGCCACCGTATGTTGATTCAATAGATTGGTCGAAATGGCATGTGTTTTGGGTTGATGAGAGAGTTGTACCCAAAGATCACGTTGACAGCAACTACAAACTCGCTTATGATGGATTTCTTTCTCAGGTCATCTTGAATTTTAGATGATATATATATATATATATACACACACACAAAATGGTGGCATGACGTTTTAATTCATGTTCTTTAGAGTTCATTTGTGCCTTAAACCACGGGATTGTTTGAGAGATTTTTAGGAAAACAACTTTTTTCTCATGATTTTAAAATAGAACTTTGGTGAAATTTGTTTATGCGGTTTTTTTTTTTTTTTTTTTTTTTTTTT